TAGGAACATTAAGATAACGCACAAGGGAAACAAGCAACGCCGGAAAAGAATCTAAACTGAAATACAAGACTAAATCATGACAGGATCAAAAGATATAAAAATGAAAAATTTAAGATTTTGAATCCATATTACTGGACTCCCTCCAGATTGTTCAGGCTCAATCTTACGGGCGATGATGACGGTTGGAAATGCTGCAGATTTGAAAGAACCTTTCTTCAGCTACTCTGGGAATGTCCCATGATTCAGAGTTGGCTGAAGGTTCAACAACATATAAAAGACATTACTCAGATAAACTTTGAATTCTTCCCAGGGCTTTATGTCCTCAGTGATCCACAGCCAACATCTCACTGTGGAGCAAAGGACTTCATTCAAACAAGTGTAATGGTTGGAAAACAGATAATAATGAGAAACTGGAGGAACCCAGGTGAGCCCTCGTTTCATGATGGTTCACAGAGCTGGCAATGGTGGCATTATATGAACAAGTCTCTTACATTCTTAAGGACAGGACTGAGAAATACGAGGCATAGAAGGCACAGGCAGTAAAGGTCAGAGCAGCTTCTTGAGCTGTGTTTCAGTTCAGGAAACTTGAATTGTATAGGAAATGAATCGTAGTGACTTGTAAACTTCTTCGTTCGACCACAGTGCAGCAGTCCAGTTTCTATGGTTACATGGGGATGCTGCCCAAACGATACACCCAGGGGGTGATGACTGGAGAGAGTAAGTACACTCACACAAATACCTACCTCTGTTCTCACCTGTCTCCTGTTCTCCTCTGTAATGACCTGTGTCTTTCTCTCTGTTCTCACCTGTCTCATATTGTCCGTCCCTCACAGGTACAGCAGGTGTCATCATCTCTCTTTCTCGAATCTTCACCAAGCTGCTGATCTCTGACGAGAGGAGAAACACGCTCATCTTCTTCCTCATCTCCATCAGTATGGAGATGCTCTGCTTCATGCTCCATCTGCTGGTTCGCCGTTCACAATTTGTCAGCTACTATACCAACCACACCCAAGGAAAAGGTCATGACCCACTGGACAATGGGACGGGATACAGGGTTCACCACGATGTCACCGCAGAGGAAGTTAGATTTGTAAGTATGTTGACAGTTTCTTCACCAAACACTAGATTTGCACACAGTGAATATACTGTTGGTCTGTTGGTCAGCCAGAAACCCTTAAATCTAGATTTAAGAAGGACGAGTTAGAGAAAGATAAAGGCGATGAGGGAAAACCTGAGATTGAGAGAGAGAGGAAGGCCTACAGAGAAACTGAGAGTCACGACTTAGAGAGGGGAAGGTGGGGGGGGGGGGATTAGAGATGAACCCAGAAAGGTTAATTAGAGCAAGAGAGAAAAGGCCAGTGATGACAACGGAGAAATATATTACGCTGGTGATCCTCTTCCAACTCAAAAATGGAGCAGTCAGACCACGCAGAGCTGAAATCTATCATCAAACTGCGTTCATGCTTCAGAGCCTTCAAAGAAAGACATTTTTCCTCAGGCTGTTTGTATTTGTGCATCATCATGTACGAGAGAAGCGTGGGAGGGACGTCACTGTGTGTAACTGCAGTGTGTGTTCTGAGTCTGGGGGCTGATTGACGCAGCTCTTTGTTCCGGTTGCCAGGGGAAACCAAGGCAGTGCTCTATATTATGAGATAATCAGGAAGAGTGGTGCCTTCTGGGCCCTGAAGTCTCTCTAATCAACTAATGGATCGGTGTGTGTGTTAGTGTGTGTGAGTCCAGTCTCTCTAACATTATGATGTCAGCCCTTACTCTCTCACAGCGATTCTCTTTAAAGCCTGCCATATAAAACAGTGTCAAAGGATCAAATTCAAAACAACTCGAAGAGGGAAGTAATAAAGACTTTAGTAAGTAGTTTATTTGCCGTGTGACGCTTCATGTCATGTTTTCATTTTACGATTAAAAATAGTTTTGAGGAAACACCATTAAAAGACACGTAGAGTTTTATCAGAAAGATAAGTGTTGGATAATTTATATTATGACAAAATTCTTCCGATGATTTTCAACATTAACTTTTCAAATTATCCATCTTTTTGGTCTAACCAAGTTGTTAGCATAGGTTATCTAAGCTAAAGCACAAACCCTGCAGTGGCTAACAGTAATGCTAGCATGTTTGTCTTATTGTGGAGGGTTCTGAACGTTAATGCCAAATCATTCTGTAGAAGGACTTCCACAGATAGAGTTCGGGGCTCTCAGATGGGGGGTGCATGGGGAGTTCATTTGCTCCATCATATGGATGCAAAGGGATTGAATGCACCCATCAGCAAGTGGTGCCTTCTAACAGAGCCCGCCTCCTTGTTAAATCCAAGTGCTCCTCCACAACACCACGCCTCTGCTTTTTCACCAAATTCTCCCCCATTGCAGGTGAAATGAAAAACATCGTCATGAAACATTGGCACATTTTACAGTGTCCTAGCTCTAAAACAAGTATATGCTGATCCCTCTCTCATCTAACCCTAACCCTAAACCCCCCTCCTAAAAACTTGGCTTCCTGCTCCACCCTCTGGCTTCTTCAGGTGTGACCACTTCACTCACTGCTCCAACTCATCAGACACTGAACACTGTCGCCCACCCACTGGCCAAAAAATTCAACATCAACTCTTTCATAAACTGAAGTAACACACGTGTTGTTTACATACTCAGTGCCCATGTGGGTTAGGGGGAGGGGTCTTTGTGGGTTAGACCAAAAACCCCTCAACAAAAGTATTGCTGAACATGAAGCAGCGGCCAAATCACAACATGGACTATGCAATAATAAGACAAACCATGGTTCTGCTGCACATTTTGGAGAATTTAAAGAATCTCTTGCTCCAAGTAAGGGGGGGGGGGATTTTCACACTCAACACAGAAGAATCAATTTTGTCATTTTTTTGTAATGTGTTTTAAATTATTGTATGCGATGTCAGAGAAACATTTTTCATCTTGTAAATATTATATATGTTCTAAACATTTCCACACCTTTGGATGCATTGGTTTATTGGAGGGCTACTCATAAGTGAGTATTGCTTAACTCTCAGCTTGACTCCCACTTATTAACCAACGAGTGATGACTCTCTGTGAGTAGTAGTGTACAGAACTTTTCAAATCGGTATATGTGCTGTTAGACTCAAAAGAAGATGCAATGCATCCAAACCTGTTCTTTGCACTTTAATAATTCATTATTTTTCCAAAAGTGATTGGTTTTCTCCAGAACTGCATTATGTTTGGAAAAAAAAGTCTGCCATTCCATTATGGTAAAGATCTTTTCTTTACAAACCCTCAATGGGTGTCTGTCTTCAGGGAAACGGGGGTACAGGCCCAATCCCCACAGAGGAAGGCGTCGAGGACATCGCAGGTGGGACGTACATTCGCTTTGATGCCCCAAAAGCCCAGATAAGGAAGAGCTGGCCCGGTGTCCGCGGTACTTCCTGTTTTAATCCTGTGTCCTCTCTGCTTAATTACCCTTTAACTTTGACAGAATAAGTACAAGTTTAAAATGTGATCCTGGGAGATTTCTGGGAGTAGTGGCATGTTCATGGTTTTTAAACTTCCCCCTGTGTGTCTATATTTTCTGACCAGATATGATCCTACATCGCTACGTGGTGTCACGTGTGATCTGGGCCTACATGTTGTCCATAGCGGTGACCTATAGCATCACTCTGTGCCTGTTCCCCGGCCTTGAGTCAGAGATACGAAACCTCACGTTAGGGGAGTGGCTCCCCATCCTCATCATGGCCACATTCAACATGTCTGACTTTGTTGGAAAGGTGGGTGCATGTTTTGTAACCCATGAAGAAGAAACCAAACAGACTGTAAATAAGACATTATATTACACACTCTGCCTCTTTTTGAAATTACATTTTTATTAATTATTTCTGAGAATTTTTTAAGTGAAAAAAAGTTATTTTATATATATATAGTTATTACTTTATGACCTGACATTTAGTCTGGACCACAGCTTCAAAGGAAAGGAAGTGTCCTTTCACAGCTTGGTTTTTGCTGCTCCCAGGTGGCCAAAGAAACTCAATAGCTTCTAGCCATTTTATTCTAAGCTTTAACTGAGTGTTAGAATTCATACTTCAAATTGAAATGACATTTTTTTGTGTTGTATATGATGCTCCAACATGAAATAGTCCATAATTTTAAATGAGGGAGCAGCTGAGATAAATTATTATTAACAATCACTTTCAAAAGAAGGAGAAGAGATTTGAAGTGTAATTTTAAAAACAGGTGTTCACCTCTCTGCCTCCAGGTTTTTCATCAATTATCAGTTTATAATTTACTGAGAAATAACCACAAAGAAAATAAACTGTAGAATTATTATGCATCTTCCATTTCACTTCTAAAGACCCCTGATCAAAAGATATGTAGTTATATCATAATGACACACTTTGACCACCTTTGAAAGAAATGTACTGAAAAGACAAACCCGACCCCAGTCCTGACCTAACCCCCCCTCTACATATGAGCTTTATGTTTCAGTGATGAAAGTTTGGAACTTCTTTTAAGCCTATCAAAGTCTGTGGTCTTCCTCACAAGTTGCATAAAGCCTCAATAACCTCTTTTACCTGAGAGGTCAAAGATTCAAAAAATAATTAGGTGCATATGAAATTATTTGTGTTAACACCATTTATAATACTTTAATCAAACCTCATCTTTTCTCTCTTTCATACTTTATGAGTTACTTAGTTCATCATTGTATTATCATAATTTTAATAAATGTTCATCAAAAAAAAATCACTGAGCTGATGTGAAAGTGTAAAAGGAGTCTCTCCATTTATGAAACCTCAGAAGAATGATGGAAAGAAACCGTGTTAATTCAGCTCTTCTGTGACACCAGAGTGTTTAAACTTCAATAAGGGGCAAGATCATTTTAATCTTAAATTTTGATACTCAATGACGAAGCAGAAAAGATTTGAACCTCCAGCTTCCTTCCTCTGTCCTCAGATCCTGGCAGCGCTGCCATACGATTGGTCTGGAGGTCGCCTGCTCTTCTTCTCTTGCCTGCGGGTCGTCTTCATCCCTCTGTTCGTCATGTGTGTTTACCCGGTCAGCTCTCCCACCCTGTCCCACCCCGCCTGGCCCTGTCTCTTCTCCCTCCTTATGGGAGTCACCAACGGGTACTTTGGATCTGTTCCTATGATCCAGGCTGCTGGAAAAGTGCCGCCCGAACAGAGGGAGCTGGCAGGTGGGTTCACCTGAATGGACAGATAACATAATGTAGTGATAGTTAGTACAGAGCTACATGGAGTCAGGCTTTGTCTTTTTTCTGTTTAATTAGTGTTTCAAAAACATCTGGATAAAAATAGATGTGTTGTATGGCCTGTGCTTAACCCTGACCTGTACTTCTATGTACAGTGATCATGGGTGGCAGTAGCTCAGTCTGCAGGGACGCCGGTTCAAGTCCCAACATGGACCAAGTCCGGATATTGGTCGGTTAGCTATGTTTGTGTAGCTTGGTCATTAAACAGAGTGTTAAACCGAATTTCTCCACGCGCGATTAATAAAGTATAAATTATTATTATTAATTATACCAATAACCATAATCATTTTAATAATAATAATAACTTTATTCTTATAGCACGTCTAAAAACAGACGTTCACAAAGTGCTTTGACGGACAAAGCAAAGGCAGGAACTCATTAAGGCATTAAACATCAGCATCAAGGCCAAACAGAGAGACATCTACATCAATAATATTTATAAAATACAAGTCATAAAAAAATATACATCAGCAGGTCTCAACAGGCAGTGGAGGCTTAAAGATATTACAATTAAAGACTGATAAAAAGAAAATAAAAGTCACCTGGCTGATGTTATAATATAAAAGTAAAGAAGACGACGACACATCATCACAGGTAATAAAAAGAGAACAAAGATAAAAAGTGTTAAAATCAAAGAGAGCCGGTCAATATATGAAAGCAGCAGAAGAAGAAGGGTTAAGAATGGATGAAAAGTTTAAGAACAATAAAATGAATGAAGAAAGGGAGAGATTAATACAAATATTTAAAAGGTGAAATCACAAAAAAATGTGTTTTAGGAAGTGATTTAAAGATGTGACTGAATCTGCCCACTTAATACCCTTTATCCCATCAGGCTCTTTGACTTTGATTATTTTTGATGAATTATTCTATATTTAATCATAAGATGTCGTCTCAACATTTTTATTGTCTGGAGTGAGAATGCTACCACACCGTTGGCCCTGCTTTCAATAAATGAAATGTCCCTATCAAAACTTTGTTGTCAAACATCTTAGAAAAGATTTAAATCAATCAAATAAGTGATGTCTTGAAGAAAGATAATATTTACAATAATTCAAATAAGTAATTTAATTCAGGGTTCTGAAAAAAGCAATCTGTTGGGACTGCTCCTCTGAGGGAATCCAATGATGGATGGAGCTTCTTAGTTTCTTTAACCTTTCTTTCATGTTCATCATTACACATGCTAAATGTTAGCATGTTAATTCAGGTCCCTTTGCTTATGAGGAAATGCTAATGTTATCATCATATTGTCTCTCTGTTATCTCTGTCTTGATCGTCTGCTCTTTGTGTTTTCAGGAAACACTATGACAGTCTCCTACATGACTGGCCTGATGGTGGGCTCTGCTGTGGCATACGTAGCTTACAGCTTCATCGCTCCAGGATCAGAAACACACTTACACACACTTGACCTTCATTCACCTGCCAACACTAGTGGGTATTGAATGGTGCAGACTGACAGACTCCAATCAAGCTGCAGAGGATGAGAAACTTTGGATGTTATCAGATTTTATCATCCTCCTGCTGGTGATGAACTTTTCTGTGAGGTGTAGAACAGCAGCTCATCTGGCCAACCACACTTCAGAGAGTGTAAAATGGCGTCTGCATGCATGGAAGCACTTGGGCTGCCGTTTGTGTAAGGTCAAAGACGTTTTTGCAAAAGGAAATGAATTTATAATCAGTCTCAGATGGGTGATGTTGGTTACAGATTACATCTTTTTCTGTCATTATAATCTCCTGTGATGAAACTGGTTATATCCTAAAGTGATTACAGAAGTATTTCAAAGGGAATCTTATTGAACTGACATCATAAAGAAGGTTATTTAAAAGAATAATAGTAATAATTAAACCTTTGCTTATGGATACCTTTTCAAAATCCAACATTCAAAGTCCTTCAGGCAGCAAAATGCAAAAGTCAGGTCTTAAAACTAACTAACTAAAACTATGACTTTCAAAAATACATATTACACTTATATACAATGTTATAAAATAACATTAGTCAAAGACGTGAAATACAGATGAAAGAATATAAATCAATAACTGTTAGGGTTAACCATTTGAGGAGAGTTTCTCCAATAACTGTTTAAGAGATCAAAGATTGGATATTCGGACTGAACTAAACAAATATAAAATGTAAAAGCCTGAGCCACGATGATTGTCTGCCAACTGATCCACAAGCTAACATAGAAGTGTTCACCCAAAGACGGGAGAGTTTTGACTTGTATTCTTCTTCGAGGTCGATAAGTCAAAACCCCCAAAAAGTTTAGAGAAACCCAACAGCAAAGTGTGTTGTTACATGTCATTCCTCACTAGTGAAACTAAAGGTCAGATAAATAGGAAGAAAAAAAAATTGAGTATTTTTTCCATGGTTTAATAAAACAATTGATAACTAGCTCAGTACTGATGAATCACAGCTAACACAAACATTCAATAACTTCCTGATATCGCTGCTAGCTAGATAACATCAAATGTTGTGATAATGTTAGGGGTTGTTGAATGCTGATGTTAGCTGTATTAGCTCATAACAGTAAAGAGGTGTTTTCATGTCACTGTGCCTTAAAGACAGAGTTCATTTTTTTATTTCAGGAAAGACTATTTTTTATCCAACATACTGTCTTTACATCTTGATTTGTAATTGATGTGCTTCGTAAAAGTTATTCCTTCTCTATCATAAGATCTTCTCTTTTTCTCTCCGTTCTGTTCATCCCGCCTGAATTGGGAAACATTAAATTCATATTTTTATTTCCATGTCAGGTCATTTACATGACTCCTCCCACATGGAAAACATTTAATTTATTTTTAATCATGCAAGAAATTAACATTAAATCTGAAAAAAATACAAATAAAAATAAAAAAAGGGAAAAAAATCTTTCGAAAATACAATTTTTGTGCATATAGAGCTGCTTCTCTGTTTTATGAACTGATATTGTTGGTTCAAAGAAGCTGGTTTCTTTCCTCATTCATTTTCACATCACTTCTTGTCTGCAAAAGAACAATATGTTGAATTTACGAGATGAGGAAGTTGGATAATTATCTAGTACTGTATTATTTAAAAAAATGTTTTGTCCTGTCTTTGTCCCTGTGAACGGCGTGTTTGTGTAACATTATGGTAATACATTGTAATTTATGTGGAAACAAAAAAAGCCAAAGTGCAAGTTTCATGGAAAAAGAATGTAATGAAGAAAGCAAATAAAAGTTTCAAATCT